TCGGGATAGAAATTTTAAATTCCAATCCCGTCCCATACTATTAAATCCTGGTATATAGGTATCCCTGAATATTTCGAGAATTTGGGATTGGGATCGGGAAATCCCATATCTTTATATAAAAGAAGGGGCTATATGACAAACACCCTTCATTGGATTTTGACTTCTTGATCAATCCAATTTTTTTAATTGATATTTGTTATAAATCCAATTGACTGGAATTATCCAATATGCCCCTATTTAATATTACTGAAAATTACCATATTATATTATTTTAAAAAATTCATTATTTTTTAGTAGATATGCAAATCCCCTATTTTTCAGTATAAGTTTCATCTTTTTTCTTTTTTTCTTTTAAATGGTTTTTTTTATATCATTTTAAAACAAAAATTGGTTTTTTTTATTTCACTTTTTTAAATGGTTCATATTTTCAAAAAATTGAAATCCGCTACATACTCATCGAAAACCACTAAATTTATCGAAAACCACTATGAAATTAAAGTAAAAATTACTATAAAATAAACTCATCGAAAACCACTAAATTTATCGAAAAACACTATGAAATTAAAGTAAAAATTACTATAAAATAATCATAATCCACGTTAATATTAACGTAATCCACTTTGTAATTAATGAAAACAACTCTGTAATTAGCAAAAATCACTATGTAATTAACAAATTCCATTACAAAAATTCACTAAAAAATTATCAATTAACGAAAACCACTCTGTAATTAATGAAAACCACTCTGTAATTTATAAAAATCACTAAGTAATTAACAAATTTCATTACAAAAATTCACTATAAACTTATCAATTAACAAAAACAACTATGTAATTAACGAAAATTACAATGTAATTAACAAATTATATTACAAAAATCCATCATAAACTTGTCAATTAACAAAAGTCCCATGACTTTGTTTGTATAATCTGTTAGTGTTCCCATTATTACACTATGAAACTTGACTCACATTTGTTCTGTCTTTTTGTTGATTAAACTTTGTAATTTCTTTACTGAAGAGGTCTGTGGCTAAGCTTCCTCTGGTTGGTCTCGTAAGGTTGGTTCACTATCTTTTAGGGTTGTGCGTGTGTGTGAAGAATCGACCAAAGTAAAAAAAAAAAAAACCAAATTCCTATTTCAAATTGATCTACAATTTCCAACATTTACCACCGGCAAATAATGTCTCTTCCTCCTTCGTTAACAACCGTCCTTGGCTTGGATCTGAATCTGCAAATTACCATTAATCCTAATCGTCTTGATGGGCGGGGGAAGGAGCGGTGGTGATGAGTGAAAGAGATGTTGGTTGTGAAGAGAAGAAAGATGGAAGAAAAATGAGGGCCGGCAGGGCGGCGGTCGTGGGGCCGTTGGTTGGTTGTGGAGAGTGGTTGTGGACAGAAGAGAGAGAAACAAGAAAGAGAAATGGAAGAAGGGACGTCTAACAACATTAGGTTAAAAAAAAAAAGAAAAAGGGTACTATAGTGAAATTAGGTTGATTAAAAATATTATGGATTTATCTTAAAAAGGAGAAGTTTTTTTGGACCCATCTTAAACGTACAGTGGGTATGAGGGGTGTTTGTCAAATAATCCCATAAAAGAAAGGTTTGCCCCTAAACCCTGGACCCATTTTTGGGAAATCTTTGTAACCCTAGGCGCATTTTTGGAAAAGACCATTATTCCATCCTATAATTATTCTTATGTTTTGTATACACATATTTAGGTAAGTGATTTCTCATAATTTCTCCTTTATCGTCATTGTTTTTAAATGGTTTATTTAGCACGTAGAAACTGTTAAAAAAAATAATAAATAAATATTCCCACAATTTCGAAATTGCCTTCCCATTCTTCTTCGCTCCATTCTTTTTTTTCTTCTCGAAAGCTACAAATGGCCGTTTCAGTTTAAGGTAATTGTATGTAGTTCAGTTTCGTCTATAACTTCGCGCACGTTCTAATAACTTCCCACATTTGTACATGTGAAATAATTAACTCCCACGTTTCCACTTAAATAACTGGATTTTCTCTTCTTTATATTTCTTCGCCACTTTCACGGTTGCCTGCAATTTCACACGGAATTTCTACATCTCAGAATTCTCAGATGGTTCTTGAGAAGTTGGCGACTAAAGTCATTGTGAATTCTAAGATGCATACAGCCCAATGATCTGAATCTTTGGTGTGGACTAAATCTGGTGAGTAAACATACTCAGACTTTTGTTTCTTGAACTTTCCACCCTTCATTTTTTAGTGTTAGAAGAAAATAATTGTTCATTTTTCTATGGATCTGGGCAAGAAATTGTTGGCTCTCTTTTTCTATGTTGTTTATAGCTTGATTCCTGAACTTTATATAGTTCTTCATTTCAACATTTTTTATTAAACATTGTTACGATGAGATGAAAGACTTGATTATATATGCTTTAACAAAATGTTATTAACACCCCGCGATTATTGAGACTTTGTATAGCAGCGATTACACACACACACACATGTGTGTGTGTGTGTATATAGGGGCGGAACCTGGATGAAAATGTAGGGGGGGCTAACTAAAATTTCAGGGTTCGGGGCAGCGCCCCGAAAAAAAAAAAAAAGTTTCACAAACATTGCAAAAATAAGTTTATATTGATATGTTTTAATTAAAATGTTATATATATTATAATTTTATCGTATTTTAAGCATGAAAAAAAATCTAAATTAATTCAAATTATTCTAATAATGCATCGTACTTAATATTTTTGTATTCATGGCATCGTCTCATATTAATTTTCAGAGTTATTGATAAAAAAAAGGGCTAAATACAAAAACACCCCTGTACTATGCACTTTGTATCAAATACCCCCCTGTACTACCCATAAATACAAAAACCCCCCTATATATCTTTAACAGTCAACGGTCAAAAAGCTGACGACGTTAAATGGCCTAGTGAAACTACAATTTTACCCTCAACTTATTTGATACAGTAGTAATCCTCCCTCTCTCTTTCACTTACGTCTTCAGCATCTATTTCTTTATTTTATGGGTTAATGAGACAAAACCCCCTCATTAAGAAAAATATTAGAACTAACCACCCCTCATTATTTTTAATAAGTCAAACCCCCTCCATTAGTGTCATACCAATACTACCCTCACATTTTGTATTAGAAATCAGCCCCCCCACCATCTCTACCTAAACTACGGGATTCATATCAAATATTCATGGGAAAAAAATCTCTCCCCCCTAAATCACGGCAATATGTAGAATATCATCCCAATAATTCGCTAAAATCTACCCATGATCTATGGCCTTCGGTGGAACCCTAGTTTTCTTCATTTGTTGGAAAAAAATTCACAAACGTGTGAATCGAGGAGAAGCAGACACAAAAACATGGTGAAATCAAAAAAATCAAATAAAGGTAGGCTGCTATGAAATCCGTTTTTCCTACAACATATAATTAGATTTCTCTGTTTTATGTCATAATACGACATATTTCCATTTTTTTTTTCAATTTCAGCGACTATGAAGACTGCAAAAATGGTTGATTATTCAAAAATGGAGTTTGTAAACAAGCTTGTTTTTTAGATCTACATATCTATGGTCGCACTATTTGTTGACTCATAAATATTTGTTTCGTATGAAATTTGTTTTATCAGAGTCCACAACAAAGAAGAGATCATTGTTGTCGAAAAACTTAAAAAATTACGGTCATACACTCAGAGTTAACTATAAAATCGGATAGTTCACCATATTTTTTCCAGAGTCAACTATAAAAATTAGATAGTTAACTATAATTTTTACGATGTCAACTATAAAAAAATGGTAGTTAACTATATTGTTGCCAGAGTCAACTATAAAATCGGATAGTTCACTATATTTTTTCCAGAGTCAACTATAAAAATTAGATAGTTAACTATAATTTTTACGATGTCAACTATAAAAAATTGGTAGTTAACTATATTGTTGCCAGAGTTCTACAAAAATTGGATAGTCAACTACAATTGTTCCGATGTCAACTATAAAAAATTGGTAATCAACTATAGTTTTCCATTAATTCACTATATTATATTTCAATTTAAGATACTATGGTGTTATAAAATGAGATGAGATGTAGAAGAAAAGATAAAGTATTGAGAAGATATAGAGAAACTAAAGAGAAAAAATGAAACAGACGAGAATAGAGGAAATGAGGGAAGAGAAAGGAGAGAGAGAGAAGAGAGAGAGAGGAGAGAGAAGAGAGGAAATTGTGGAAGAGAGAGAATAGAGAGAAGATAGGAGAGAGGAGAGAAAAGAGAGGAAATTGTGGAAGAGAGAGAAGAGAGAGAATAGAGGAGAGAGGAGAGAGAAGAGAGGAAATTGTGGAAGAGAGAGAAGAGAGGAGAGAGGAGAGAGAAGAAAAATAATAAATGACAACACGTCAAAAAGGACGGTTGAGAAGAGAGGGGGGGAGAGAGAGAAAGAGTGGGGGAAGAAAGGACAAAATTGGAATAATAAACACGTGAGGGGGGTCTCACAATTCCTAATGTTAATTTTAGATTTCTTTACAAATGGTAAATATTAAAATGGGCCTGGACTCTATTATTTTGTGTATTGAGGGGGTTATCCCTCATTTTCCCTTATTTTATTATTTTGTTTTTTTTTGAGAAAAAAGACCTTCTATCTTCCACCAAAAACAACGACACTTTTCTCTCCAAAAGCTTGATAACTTGGCGAAGATTTTAGTTTCAGAAATTGTTGGTGAGGCTATTCATTCCCAGAAATTTCGGAGGCAAAGGTTAGTATATATTCTAAAGACTATTTCTCCCTAAAATAAGGTTTTATTTTCTGTTATTTTTTTTTTTGGGTTTTCCAAAACTATTTGAGGCTTTTCTACGAAAAGTAACATTTAGGATTTAAGAGTATATTTTCAAGTATAAATATGTAGTATTTTTTGTTTTTCTTGATAGATATTTTTTTACGATTTATTTACAATTTATGGTTAAAATTCCAAAGATTTTTTTTGGGGTTTTTGCGGGAAAAAAATGAGGCTTTTTTATATAATTTTTTTTTTAGGTTTTAGAGTATAATTTTGAAGAGAAATATGTTGTACTTTCATTTTTTCGTGATTGATAGTAACAGTTAGGGTTTTTATTTTCTGCAGGAATGTCCAGTAAATTATTTACCCTTAGACTTAATTATGGAGGGAACTTCTCAAATATGGATTTTGAATATGTTGGAGGGATGGTCTCAATGGTAGCAGATGTGGATCCTGATCTTATGTCATACTTTGAGATGCTTGGCATCATCAAAGAACTTCAATTATCAGCTACTACAGTTATTTGGTACAACTTGCCTAATGAAAATGGATTGAACCTGTTGGATAGTGACAGTGGTGTTCTTCAGATGTTCAAGAAATATAGTGATGTAAAGGTGTTTCAGGTTGATCTGTTCCTACAAGATGTTGATATTGATATATCATGTGATGTAATGTCATCTCATGAAGCTAATGCAGAGATGGGTATGGGTGTTGGTGCAGAGGTTGATATCGGGGCTGATGCAGAGGTGGATATGGGGATTGATGCAGATGAAGATGAAAGTGACCCTAGTTATGTAGCCGACAATGAGTCTGAGTCTGGATCTGACTTTGACTTTTTTGCTGAAGGAGATACAATGAGTGAGAGTTTCCATCCTTTAGGAACTGATTATATAGGAGATGATGGAGAGGAAATCAGTCAACCATTTGATCCAGAAATTAATCTTGAGCAAGCATTTGATGCTTCAGAAGATGCCATACAAAGTGATCCTGAAGTTTTATCTGAGCCTAATGAGTCTGATGAAGAGTCCAAGGGTAGGAAGTTTCCGGAGTTTGAGGAGGAAAATAGCCTAAAAGAACCACTTCTTGAGGTAGGTCTTGTGTTCTGCAATATTGCAGCTTATAGAAAGGCCTTGAGACAATTTTCTGTTCTTAGAGGAATTGATCTCATATATGACAAAAATGAAACAAAAAGAGTTACTGCACAATGTAAAAATAAATGTGGGTGGAGGATTCATGCTAGTGTAATGGGTACTTCAACTGCGTTTCAGATCAAGAGCTTTAAGGGTGAGCCTCACAGATGTCCAAGAAGTTTTACTAATAAGAGCGCAAACTCTTCATACCTTGCTGACAGATACATTGATACTTTTATGGAAACTCCCACTTTGCCGGTAGATTCCTTCAAGAAGTTAGTGAGAAGAGAGGTCAAAGTGTATGCACACAGACAAAAGTTGTACAGAGCCAAAAAGAAAGCCATTGAAAAAATCCAAGGTAATGTTCATGAGCAATACTCCAGAATTAGACACTATTGTTATGAAATTTTAAAAACTAATCCTGGTTCAACTGCTATTGTGAGGACTGAGGGGCCTCCACTCTACAGAATTCCTCGATTCTAAAGGTTTTTTGTACTCTATGATGCACAAAAGAACGGTTTCTTAGAAGGATGTAGACCTCACATAGGATTGGATGCGTGCTTTTTAAAGGGACCATTTGGAGGACAATTGATGGCTGCCATTGCTCGAGATGGGAACAATCAAATGTTTCCTTTGGCAATAGCAGTGGTAGAGAGTGAGTGCAAAGAAAGCTGGGGTTGGTTTCTGAATTTGCTGGTTTCTGCATTTGGGAACAATGATATAACAACGTGCACCTTCATATCCGACAGACAAAAAGGACTTGTTGAAAGCTTCAATACAATTTTGCCACACACTGAACATAGGTTTTGTGTGAGGCATTTGTATGCTAACTTCAAACTAAGGTTCAAAGATAAAATTTTGAAAGATCTGATGTGGAGTGCAGCTAGAGCTTACTTGGAGAATGGATACAATGAAAAAATGGATGAAATCAAGGCAATTTCAAAGGAAGCATATGAATGGCTGAAAAACATATCTCCTCAGCTATGGTGCAAGCATATGATGTCAGGTAGATCTAAATGTGATTTGTTATGCAATAACTTATGTGAGTCATTTAACAATTACATTAAAGAGGCTAGAGACATGCCAATTTTAACAATGTTGGAGGCTTTGAGAAGACAATTTATGTGTAGAATCCATACTAAGAGGTTGTTGGTTGAGAAGTGTAGTGGGAAATTATGTCCAAGAATTCAAGATAAAGTTAATATGATCAAAGACAAGGCACTGGATTTTGAGTGTCATGTTTCTGCAAATGGAAAATGGGAAGTCACTATGGGAAACAAGGGTTGGGATGTGGACTTGAACAGACAAACTTGCAGTTGCAAAGAATGGGAGTTGACTGGAATACCGTGTATGCATGCTACTTGTGCAATTCTGATGGAGCATAAGGAGCCAGAAGATTTTGTAAGCCGTTACTATTCATTGGACATGTATAAGAGGGCCTATAGTTTCACAATAAATCGAGTACCAGACCATTCGCAATGGGTAACGGATGCAAGTAACGAGCAACCAATCATGCCTCCTCCGTTTAAAAAACAACCAGGTCGACCTAAGAAGTTGAGGAAGAAAGGTCCAGATGAGATAAGTGTGGGTGGAAAATTAACAAGAAATGGCATCACACAAACATGTTCTAATTGTGGAGATACTACACACAACAAAAGAAGGTGCAAGAAGCCACCACCACCTGTCAACAATCAAAAAACAAGGAAAAGAAAGGTAAGAAATATTTGATTTGTTATATCTCTTGGTTTTTATTTCAATTATAATTAATATATGTTATTTCACTTGTAGGCAACTAAAAATCTGGAAGGCAGTGCTCCATCAACACAAGCATCAACACAAGCTCCCATGGTTGCAGCAAGATCAAAAGGTGAAAAAAGTAGACGCCTTGGATATGGAAACTGGAATGGGGTTGGGCTGATGCAAAATGGTTTGAAGCCTCCACAACATAATACATTTAGTCTTCCACAACAGGTAATCTTATTCAGACTTTGGAACTTTGTACTAATTTGAACTGGACTTTTCACTATTTTTATTATTAGAATTCACACAAACATGATGCAACTACAAGCACGTCAGTGAGGAATGATGCTAGGGCAAAGAAGTCAATGAGAGGATCACACAGCAACACTAGTGGTAAAGATGGAGATATACAGGTACATGATTAAGCAAATGATGTAATTGCAATTTAGTTATACAAGAACTTCCATTTACATTTTATTTTCTCAGATACGAGTACAACACTCAAGATTTGGATCTGTTTTATTCTCAAGTCAACAATCAAGATCAAACAAGTTCAGTTGCACTGCAGATAATGGGGAATTTTGACTTTCTATTACTTCACTTTTGGTAAAGAAGTTTTTTTTTGGGTTGATTTTGATGGGCTGGTACTTAAAATAGATTTATTTTGTTGTGCTTTTGATGAACATACTTTATTGTTCTTTTGATTACAATGTATGTTTTTGTCTATTCTGTTGGTTTTGGTGGATTAAATAGATGTAGCAGTGATGATCAGTACTTTTGTGTTTTTAGTGGATTAATTAATATTGCAATTGTTATTTCAATAGATATTGCAAATTTTATTGCTAACCATAAATTAGCTTAAGAGAAAATGAAAAAAATTCAAAATTACAAAATAAAATATTTTTTTCAGAAAATTAAAGAAATCTAAGCAATTAGATATTTTGGAGAAAAAAAACAAAATTTCTTAAGTAGAATCGATTGAAAATGCGAAAAAAATTAGTAGGAAGTGGCTCAAATAAACCCTCGTATTTATGGAATCTACCAGGGGTATTTTCGTCAAGCTAAACCAACAAATCTTTCCCTCCAACTATTTTTAATGTCTGACTAACGGATTAAGAAAAAATTGTAACAGCAGGGGGTTTTTGTATTTATGGGTAGTACAGGGGGGTATTTGATACAAAGTGCATAGTACAGGGGTGTTTTTGTATTTAGCCCTAAAAAAAATTCAAAAATAAGTAAATATTCATAAATTTTATTTCAAATAATACAAGTTTTCACCATTTTATTTTATATTTTTATATTAAATATGACATATATATATATATATTTATATATATACATGGAGAAGAAACAAAAAAGTTAAGGATTAAGATACATATTTGCAAAAACTTTAGGGGGGGCAAAAGTAATATTCAAAAATTACAGTGTACCAAAAAAAAAAAAATCTTGGGGGTCAACAGCCCCAGCCCTTGTAAGTTCCGCCTATGTGTGTGTGTACATATATATATATATGTGTGTGTGTGTGTGTGTGTGTGTTATCTACAAATGTATATGTTTCGATTCCTGGTAGTTGTATTTCATTATCAGCAGTTTCCACCAATTTATGCTTTTTTCATTGTTTCTCAACAAAAGCTTCACATCTTCATCTTTATAGCAGCCTTTTTCTAATCCATATAGCCCGTGTTCGCAATGTTGACAATTAGCTTTGGTCTTTACATTTTTTGGTTGTTCTTTAGAATTATTTATTTAATTTGGTTGTTCCTTACATTTTGTTCTTTAAAACGTGTTTTTCTCAATAAGAAAATTTTGGAATGTATGTTTATTAACAGCAAAAATACTTATGTTTTGACACAATCTTGGTGAAAAAGGCGGGTAAAAGAAGATGATAATCTAAATTGGGGTCATATGAATGGTATATAAATTTTTTAAACAATTACAAATTGACCCCAATTTTTAAAATGTTCTATTGTTCTGCATATGTGTCTTTTACAATCATGTCAATTTTTTTTTCTTTCCTCCCTTCATATGAACAATTTCTTTTTGGGCATTCACCATGTTCATCAGATTAGATTGGATTAAGTTTTATGCTGTGGTGTCTTTTCACTTGGCTGATTTTTTTTGTTTTTATAAATATATGATTGTTGGAACTTCCATCCTATTTTTTTTTTCATTTTTTAATTTTTGAATTTCTTTATTTCCACAGTTGACAAGTTGACACATTCTTTATTTTCGAAATTTTGAATTTCTTTATTCTTTATTTTTATTTTTTTCAAATATTCTTTGTTATTTGTTGTAATTATATTTTTTTTAAATTTATTTCTCTTACATCTTTGTAGTTGTTTTTATTTTTCTAATTATATATTATTTTTTCTTAACTCTGTTTGTTATTCCCCTTTCTTTGTCAATGACGTCTTTGTAAAAAAAAAATTAACTTTTTATGTTTCTATGAAACCGCTAATGACATCTTTATAACTTTGTTTTTCTCTTCAAATTATAGATGACTTTTCACTTAATATTTTCTTCAAATATACTCATTTTTAATGTCACGATTTAAATTATTATTTTTTGACTTTTAGAATATCACCCCGTGCATCGCAAGTTTTGCCTAAAAAGTAAGAAATATTGCATTTTTTTCCATTAGTATTTTTTTATCACTAAACCAACTTGAACATATTATATACATACTACCGTTCTTGCACTATTTATTTTTACCACAAAACTTGGAACAAATTAAATTTAATTTTATTAAAATAAGTTGAAACGATATATTATATTGTATTTCTCATCTCCTTGACACTATAATAAATTACAGATGCAATCTACCATAAAAAAAATTAAACAATCATTTTATTTTCTTTCCCATACAAAAATTAGAACACTGACGGGCACACCACACACCAAAAAGAAATTAAAAAGTTGAAAAATAAATGTGT